AGAAAAGACTGCACCAAATTCTTAATCCTTTCCACCAAACAAGATTTTCAGTCTTCTTTGATAATGGGAAATGCAGTATTTTTCATGTTATGAATAATGTCATTATTGCAAAGATTGAAAGAGTCTTCATTCTTGTCAAAAGAGATATAACAATTATCCAAAAGTTTTCTTAATAACATCTCTATCAGCATGACCTAATCCATAATGCCAGAGCCTGGAATTCAAAATCTTACTGAAAGTAGTAAAATTGACATGGTGAATTTCGCCTCTGGACTGAGCTGAAGTAGGGGTGGTGTTATTGTGAAGTTGCAAGTTGAACCGGCACAGTCCTTCTTTATGGGTTCCTCTGAGGAGTGTTGTATTGGTAATTAAGTTGATCCTTAAAAATAAGTTGGATGAAATAAACAAGTTATTTGACTTTTTTTCAGATAATTTTCAATTATACTTCTTGTGATTTGAAATGTAACATATAAAACGCATACTTGTTTAAAATATTAGAAAGTTTGATTAGATTTGTAGCTTTGTAAAGGCTTTAGTTTTAGAGTTTTTCCCGTTGGAAATTCTCTCTCTATCTAGAGTTGGCCCCGTTCCTCTCTTGAGGATTTTCCCAAATCTTTCTCTTTGATGTTACTCACCTTGTGTTTGATCTCTCTTCCCTTCATCTTTCCCGTTCTCCTTTGTTGCTTTCTTCCCCTTTTCTTCCCTTATGTCTCTCATTCTAGGGTTTTCGTTTCCTTTTTATGTCTCTGGCTAATCTAGGGTTTTGGTTTTCTGCAGGCATTTCTAGCTTTCCCTTGTCACTTGGTTAATTAAGTTCTGATTCAGCCCTGCTATTAGCTATGGCGCAAGACATTACCGACAAAATGGAAAAATTCAAGCTTTCGGAGAAGGAAAATGAGGGTATCACTCTAGATGAAAATGACATTGAACCGGGATTACATGAATGTGAAAGAAGTCTTATCGGCCGAATAATTGGTGAGAAGAAGGTAAATATAGAGGGCTTACGGACCACCATGAGCCTCGTCTGGAGAACAAGTAAGCCTTTCTCTATTAGGATGCTGGGACCAAACCTTTTCCAGTTTCTTTTCCAAGATGAGGCAGACAAATGTAGGGTCCTAAAAGGCAAAGCCTGGTCATTTGATGGCCAATATTTGTTGTTGAAGGAATAGCAAAAAAACCAAGTTGAATTCAAGGATGAGGAGTTAAAGGTAGAGCTATGGGTTCAAATCCACAACCTACCCCTTCATTGGATCTCGGAGGAGACAGGGGTCAAAGTGGGCAAAATATTTGGGGCAGTGAAGGATGTGTTAATACCAGCCATGGGTAACCAACAAGGCAGAATTGTCAAGATCTTGACAGAGATAAGTGTTTTGGAGCCAATTTCTCGAGGCACACGTCTCAAACTGGGTACGGAGGAGCACTGGATAGATTTCAGGTATGAAAACTTGCTAACATTCTGCTTCTATTGCGGCAAGATTGGCCATTATGATAGGCAATGTGGTTTGAAGGGCTTGGATATGCAGAGGAATGTGTTTAGGACAGGACAATTTGGGGAATGGCTTAGAGGCTCATATGTGGGGACCTTTGAGCCCAGAGATAGGAGATCTTCTAGCCCCACCCTAGATAAGCCTAACCCAGTTTCTAGTAGCTCAAAAGCTAATGAGGTTGCAAATAGCAACTCAAAAGCTAATGAAGTTGACAATGCTAACCCCAGTGAGCAGGAGGGAACTTTAGAGGCCTCACCTCCTATGCCTAGGGCTAACCCTGTGATGGGTACACGTGTTCTACATAAGAACACTTTGACTAGTCCTGTTGAGGCTGAGAGAGAAAGGATTCGGAGGGTGGGTGGAATTGGGATGAAATGTGGAGATGTAGTGGCTTCTGCCTGTGAGGTCATGGACTTAGATGTTTCTAAAACTCAGGTTTTAAACACTGATACTCTTGTTAGTGTGCCTGTTCAGCTGGAGACTTCTATTCCCAAAGTCTCTAAAAGTCAAAAAACTTTTGTTAGGCTTACTAGGAACAAAGTGTCTGAGGTTCAAAAAACTCCTGTTTCAAATCAATCCATAGCTAAGTCTGCAAAGGTTGATCTGAAAAGGAAGGTTTCTGAGCCTCAGGATATTCCATCTATGCATAGTGAGGTTTGTTCTAAAAAACAAAAAACTGTTCAAAATGATTCTGATTTTGTGGTGGAGGAAACCAGCCATAACTGGTCCCAAGTTTCCAAATGAGAGTGTTGGTGTGGAATTGTAGAGGTTTGGGAGGACTCTCTACAATTTCCCAATTGAAGGACAATGTCAAAGCCTACCTCCCTGATTTTATCTTTTTGTCTGAAGTTAAGAAGCCTAAATCTTTTGTTCAAACTGTTTGTAAAAATTTGCATGTAGATGATAGATGGTTGTATGTTTACCCTATAGGTAGTAAGGGTGGTCTTTTGCTGTGTTGGTCTGCTAAAATAAAAATTTTAGAAACTATCAGTAATGATTCAATATAGAGGTTAGTTTTCTTCTTGATGGGTGTTCAGAGAGGATGTGGGGTGTTTTCATCTATGCCAGTGTTGACCCTCATATCAAGCAGAGCCAGTGGGATCTTTTGATTAGGCACCACCTATCCTAGGGTAGTTTGTGGTTCTTAGGAGGTGATTTCAATGACATTCTGAATAACTCTGAGAAAAATGGGGGTATTGTTAGAAATGAGGCTTCCTTTCATAATTCTAGAAGGTTCATCCAAATCTTAGGTGCAGTGCAATGCCCAAGCCTAGGCCATCCTTATAACTGGTCTAACAATAGGAGAGGCTCTGACTTTGTGGAGGTTATGCTTGATAGAATTCTCCTGTCCCCTGACTGATCCTTGAAATTCCCAAATGCTTCTGTTCTGCACATTTCCCTAGGCTCTTCAGACCACAGCTTGCTAATCATGGACAATGTAGGAGCAGAACACAAAGAAAGGAAGAAGTTCTCTTTTGATAGCAGATGGGTGAAAGAGGAGGGATTCAAGGAGTGTATTGTCCAGGCTTGGGAAAAGGAAGTCTCTGGATTAGGGCTTTATAACTTTCAGAAAAAGCTTAGGAATGTCAAGATGAGCTTGTTGGGATGGCTGACCACTAAAACAACAAACTCTTCCAAAATCATAAAGGACTGCAATGACAAGTTGATTCAGATGAGTCTGCTAGGTGGAAATAAAAACTGGGAAGAGTGGTTTGACTGCAAAGCAAAAGCCCACAAAGCATACAAAGATGAGGAAGTGTTCTGGAAACAGAAATCCAGAGTGAGATGGCTTCAGGAAGGTGATCAAAACACTAGGTTTTTTCAAGCCTGTGTAAGGCAGAGAAGAAGTTCTAATAGTCTTCAGAACCTGTTCAAAAGTTCTGGGGACAGATGTGTAAATCAGTCAGAAGTTGTTGAGGAAGTTTCGGCTTATTTCAAGCACCTTTTACATATGAGAACCCCATTACTGATGATGAGGTGCTGGCTGGAATCCCAATAGCTATAACTGCAGAAATGAATCAGAACTTAACAAAGCCAACTGACGAGAAGGAAGTTAAGGATGCTCTGTGGGACATGGACCCTGGAAAAGCCCTAGGTATTGATGGCTTCACCCCATCTTTTTTTCAATCCTGCTGGTCTACCATCAAATCTGATTTGTGTGGTGCTGTTCAAAAATTTTTATCTTCAGGTTGCATTTCCTAAGGCAACAAACCATACAGTTATTACCCTAATTCCTAAAATAAAAATCCAAAACTCATCTCTGATTTTCGGCCTATTAGCCTTTGTACTATTACTTATAGATTGATATCTAAAATTCTTGCTCTTAGATTAAAAAGAGTCATCCATTTTTGTGTCTCTCAGTCTCAGACTGCTTTTGTGCCTGATAGGCAAATTCTTGACAATATTATCATTGCAAATGAATGCATCCATTTTCTAAATAGCAAAAAAAAAAGGGTAAGAAAAAATTCATGGCCTTGAAAATTGATATGGCCAAAGCTTTTGATAGAGTAGAATGGTGTTTTGTTATTAAAATCTGTAGGCATTTAGGTTTCTGTGAGAAGTTTTTGAGTTGGATTTGGTCTTGTATTAGTACCTCTTCTTTCTCCTTCAATATTAGTGGCCAGTGTGTTGGAAATGTTAACCCTTCTAGAGGGCTAAGGCAAGGAGACCCCTTATCTCCTTACCTTTTCATTATCATTACAGAAGCCCTCTCTCACCTCATCCATAAAGCCAGTTCTTCCAACTCTTTTAAAGGTCTGAGAATCAGCAAGTTTTCCCCTAGCATCTCTCATTTATTTTTTGCTGATGACTCACTATTTTTTTGTCAAGCTGATGAATTCCATGCCTCTCAGTTATTGCATATTCTTAACTCTTATTGTGTTGTTTCTGGTCAGTCTGCAAATCTCCACAAATCAAACATTTTCTTTTCTGCAAACACCTCTGATCAAGAGAAAACAAATATCTGTGAAATTCTTCAAGGGATTGTGGTGGCCAAGCATTCTAGGTATTTAGGGCTTCTAATGGGAATAGGCAGAAATAAGAGAGACACTTTTGGGTTTGTTAAGGAGTGTGTGAGAACCAGAGTGACTAGCTGGAAAAATATTTCTTGAGTGAATCAGGTAGAGAGATTTTGTTAAGACTGTTTTGAGTGCTTTACCCTTGTATGTTGTGTCAGTTTTTAAATTGCCTAAGGGAGTGTGTTCTGATATTGGTAGGGAGATTGCTCAGTTTTGGTGGGGTAAGAATTCTGAAGGGGGAAATAGGCTTCATTTGGCCTATTGGAGTAGTCTTGCTAGGTTAAAGGGAATTGGTGGGTTGGGGTTTAAGGATTTAGGTGATATGAATGAAGCCCACATTATTAAGCAAATCTGGAGAATGTTGACTAAGCCTAATACCCTTATGAGTAAAGTTCTGAGAGGCAAGTATTGTCACAACCAGAATTTTTTATAGGTAAAAAAGAGAGACTCTGACTCTTGGATGTGGAAAAGGTGGCTAGAGGTTAGGGGTTCTTTAGCCTTAGGGCTTAGATTTCAAGTGGGTAATGGCCAGTCCATAAAAATTTGGGACTCCCCATGGCTGCCTAACTCTTCTAGATTTAAACCAATATGTTGTTTTGAAAGTGATAGGTTGAAGCTGAACATGGTGTCTGACCTTATGGTTGAAGGAGAGAGTAAATGGGATGCTGACTTGATATTCCAAACATTCACTCCCATGGATGCAGCTCTCATATTTAAAACCCACATCAGCAGCCAAAACTCACCAGACAGAATTGTGTGGCACACTGACAAGAAGGGGCAGTTCTCTGTCAAAGAAGCTTACAAAGCCATCCAACAAGCAAAAAGCAACAGAGCTCAATTGGCTGAATCTAGCAATGGAGGAAGAATTAAGCAGAATATGTGGAAGAAAATCTGGAAGCTGCAAGTTAAACCTAAGGTCAGAAATTTCCTTTGGAGGTGTATGCATAACTGGGTGGGCACCAAAGAGAGATTGAAAATTAAGGGAATAGATGTTGATGCAACCTGCTGTGGTTGTGGAGCTGAGCAAGAAAACTTGGAACATCTCTTGTTTTATTGTGAGAGAGCTCAAAGGGTTTGGAAAATGGCAGGGCTGAGCTGGAACTGCTTAAAGAACAAACAAGCTACTTTCCTGAATTGGTGGCAATGCCTTTGCAGCCTTCAGACCTCTGCTATCAACAGGGACAGAATCTCACTCTCCACATACCTCCTCTGGTGGCTGTGGAAGACAAGGAACACCTTCCTGTTTCAAAATGCTAGGATTTCTGACAAGGAACTTGTTAAAGAAGCTAGGCTGGAATGGATGGAGTTTGAAGGAATTAAATTTTGTAGGCACCTGTTTCAGCAAAGGTGTGATGAGGCCACAACTTCTGCAGAGGTTCAAGGGATAGGGGAGCTACATGCAGCTGCCAGATTTCCTGCACCTCAACCTGAGTTGAGGCTCATTTATGAGATTGCTTTTATGGACTCTGAAGTGAAGGACTCTTGGTCTTTATCTACGGGTGCTTTCTCAGAGTATTCAGTGGATGGATCACTTCTGAATCTCAGAACTTGGCTTCAGCTAGGGAAACAACAGGGATGGCACAGAGTGGAGCTGCATGTGAAAGACCAACATTTATTCCATTTTCTTTCAGGCCAAACACTATGCAATGTGGAGTCTGCTGTCCTTGGTGAGGACATTTGTTCAGTGTTACATTTGTTTCCAGCCTATGATCTAGTGGACTGTCTTTAGTTTTTTTTTCTGGTTTAGTGTTGTCGTTTGTTTGTTGTCTTTGTGTTTGTTTTCTCTTAGGTTTTTCTGGTTTTTTACTAGTGTGTACCCCGTGCGATGCACAGAAAAAATATTAAATCTACAATATTATAAATAGACCTCGAGTTTGAGTTACTAAGTGAAAACTACTATTGATTCTATTTAAAAAGAGGAAGAAAAAAAATAATTATAAATTAAAGAGGAGGATAAACAATACTTAATAATTATAAATTAAAGATTCGGGGTCAAACAATGTAAAATTATTTTGTATAAGAGAAAATAAAATTTGCATTATTTTGTATAAGAGAATATAAAATTTGGATGTTTAATATTAAAACACCTAAAATGTTATATTAGTATATGTAAAAGTATTCAAAATTTTCTATATTATTTTTGCAAGATGTGAAGTCACCCACAACTTTTCCAAACAATTTTAGAAGGAAAATATATCTAAAAACATTTGAATTTAACATTGTGTAAAAAAGATTTTTCTAGACTGTTTTATAGAGAAAACATGTCTAAAAATATTTAAATTTAACATCAATTATGTATATGTGTGTGTATATATATATATATATATATAGAGAGAGAGAGAGAGAGAAATATGTAAACAAAATGTCTAAACAATTTGCTTAAAATATCTAAAATATTATAAGCCTAATTTAATAAAGACATTTAGATGGTACCGAATTTATGGTGTTACTTCCATCTAACAAAATTTGATTACACACAATTTCAAAATTATTATTATACTTTTTACATTGTTTTCGAGGATGAGTTTATAATATTTGTAAAAATATTAGTAATTAGACCAATGAAAATTAGCAGCATCGTCGTATTTTATTTTTTTTAAATAAGGGATGAGATTTTGAGTATCATAAAAACAGGTAAAAGAAATACAAATATTTATTGTCATCGACGGATTTGAGTACAAAAAACAGGAAAAAAGAAAAACAGATATATACTGTCATCGGGGCAGTTTTGAGTACCAAAAAAACAGGAAAAAGAAAACCATATATATACTGTCACCGGCGGTTTTTGAGTACCAAAAAAAGAGGAAAAAGAAAAACAGATATATACATAGCCGAATTTTTGCCTATTCAAAATTGACCAACAATTACTATATATAGGATACATTTAATGATATTAGCGGGAAAAACTTGCTAAATTTGTAAAAAGGTTATTCTTTTTATATAACGATAGATGGGTCTTTGTTGTGTCATGGCCTTGCTAGGCAGTGCTACTACCGTGTGCCCTGGCAAGGTGTGCCAGGACAATTTAAAATGAACATGTGCAAACATGATTTACACATGTTCATTTTGTAACATAACATGTTCATTTGTGGCACACCTTACTAGGTGTGCCCTGGTATTTGCGCTTGCTAGGTCTCTTAGGGTGCCAAATGTAAATGGGCACCCCTTGTACCCCCTCTCAAACTGTTTTGATGGGTGTATTGCGGCCATTTGGCTGCCGGGATGTACATTTCATTAGTTGTTCTATAAAATTTGATGTTTGAAAAAAAAAAAAAAATGTCGGATATATCACATTATCCTATCCAATTCGCATAAGTAAATAGGCACTATTATTGATCCTAATTCGATCAGGACAATTTTATATATGGTATATCAGCAACAATCTTTTCATGAAATAAATAATAAAGTATAGAAGATTGAGGATAGTACATTTTTTATGGCATTAAATTATGGAGTTCAGTCAAAATATGATGAATTAGAGCATCTCTAATAACCCTTCTACACAAACCTCCTTTATCAATTTCCAATATGTCACGTCATCCAAAACCTCATTCTTACTCCTATACATATAAACCTCTGTTTATTGTGTTTTTGTGTTTATTTCCGTGTGTTTTATGTGTTTTAGTTGAGTGATTTTAGGTCCGTTTTAGTATTGACCGGTCCATTTTATCGTGTTTCGTGCATTTTTGCTTTCGTTTTGTAGATTTTGTCGTTCGGCGTATTTTCTTGTCTTTTTGGTGTTGTTTAGGTCCACATTATTCGAGTTCGGGAAGAGGAGCCATTTTCGAGACATTTCTGAGCCGTCTGAACCATGTCCGAGCCACGCGAACCATTTCCGAGCATATTTATTAATTGCGGGGTGACATCTATTTGCGCATCTCAAGACGAGGAGGAAGAAACAGGAAGAGATTATCCTGCACTTGTGCAATGGATAAAAAAGACAAGTCCCATGAGAAAAGAGAAAAAAGTCGCCAAGAGATCTCTCTCCTACGCACCATTCCTTATTCCGATCACCAGAGGTATATATATTCATCACCATATCATACTATAAACAATGTCTACAATTTTATTTTCAATTTTGTTTCTTTCATCGAATTTCTTCATGCTTGTCCTCGATTGGTAATTAATGAGACTCGAATTTAATTGAATAATACTGAATCTGTGTAATTTGCATGTAAAATTGAGCTTATGTTGTGAATTGAGTGGCTTTAATTTTCAGATGGTGGACCTCCGAGACTATAGCCGTGGTGACGGGCGCCAACAGGGGAATCGGGTTTGAGATCGTGCGCCAGCTGGCGTTGCATGGATTGACGGTCATCCTCACGTCTCGTGAGACGGCCGTTGGTGAAGAGGCTGCAAAGGTGCTGCAAGAGTGCGGATTGGATGTGGTGTTCCACCAGCTTGATATCGTGGACCCTCACTCGATCGAAGCTTTTGTCAAGTGGGTCAAGGAAAAATATGGCGGCATAGATATATTGGTAAACTAAACTCCTCCTCCTCCTCCTTTTATCATATTCCAAGTTGATTCGCATAATTAGTGAATATAAATTTGTAGGTAAATAACGCGGGAGTAAATTTCAACGCCGGATCGGATAACTCTGTGGAGTATGCAGAAAAAGTCATTGGTACAAACTACTTTGGGACAAAAAATATGATCAAAGCCATGATTCCTGTATTCAGACCTTCGGATTCAGGCGCACGAATCGTTAATGTCAGTTCTCGATTGGGAAGACTAAACGGGCCACGAAATGTAAGTAAAATTAAANTAATCATTTTATGTACAAAAAAAATCATGATTTTCTCACTAACCCAAAAAAAAAAGATGATTTTCATCTGTGCAGAGAATTGAAAACGTGGAGCTGAGGAAAAAACTAGAGGACGACGAGTCGCTAACCGAGGAATTAATCGACGAGACAGTGAACATGTTTGTGGAACAAGTGAAGGATGGGACGTGGGTGGAAGGCGGGTGGCCACATGTTTTCACAGACTATTCGCTGTCGAAATTGGGTGTGAACACGTACACGAGGCTTATGGCGCGGATATTTGCTGAGCGGACGGAGGGTGAAAAGATATACATAAACTGCTATTGCCCAGGATGGGTTAGGACGGCCATGACGAGGTGGGCAGGGCATGTGAGCCCAGAGGAAGGGGCGGACACTGGGGTATGGCTGGCCCTGCTGCCCCAGCAGTTTGTGACCGGGAAATTTTTCTCCGAGAGGCGGGAAATACATTTTTGAAGTAGAAAGGTGGAGTTCACCTTGGTGAAATATTCATACAATGGCTCTAGTTT